ATCATAAACTGAATGGATCAGCAATCATTAGCAGCCAAACAACTACTATATATTAATACTGGATAGTGTAATATCACCATATGCTAAATAAATACTAATGGAATTTTTTTTAAAAAAATTGATTTATATGCCACCCTTCTCCGGAGACTCAGGGCAGCTTACAATGCGCTAAGCAATAGCCTTCATCCTTTTTGTATATTTATACAAAGTCAGCTTATTGCCCCCACAACTGGGTCCTCAATTTACCTACCTTAGAAAGGATGGAAGGCTGAGTCAACCTTGAGCCTGGCGAGATTCGAACCTGCAGTAATTGCAGGCAGCTGGTCTTAATAACAGGGTGCTTTAGACCACTGTACTACCAAGGCATAATAAAATGCATTTATTAGCAGACACAAACACGTCTCCACCCATTAATTAATATATGGAATGTTCACCTACTGCTAGAATGAGATATCCATGGGGCAATTCCCTACTGAAACTTTACATTTTTATTAGGTTCACCCATTGAACAGACTGAAATATCCATGGGATAATCTAGTATTGAGGCCTTATATAACTACTAATAAGAGTGGATATGAAGGATCTGTGCGTCTTCATGAAATTTAGTTCTCTGAATCTGAGCAATGAAGTAAATTCCAAAGTGCTGATTATGAGGGAACTTTCTTTTCTCTTTTTGAAAAAAAAATAATATTATTTTTATTATTTTATTTAAACTAATCAAGGAGAGAAGCAACTTAGAACTAAGAAGAAATTTTCTGACAGTTAGAACAATTAATCAATGGAACACGTTGCCTCCAGAAGTTGTGAATGCTCCAACACTGGAAGTTTTTAAGAAGATGTTGGATAACCATTTATCTGAAGTGGTATAGGGTTTCCTGCCTAAGCAGGGGGTTGGACTAGAAGACCTCCAATGTCCCTTCCAATTCTGTTATTCTAATATGCTGCACAATCTCCAAGAATAGCAAAGACTTGGATCATACATTATGCTGTGATTTCCCATCAAGAAGTGATGAGGGTTATAATTATAAGGAAAGAGCAAGAGAGACATTTTTGTTTTATGCTGGCCCTTGCTGGGTTTCAGCTCTAGTAAAAGGTACTGAAATTAACCTTTGATGGCACAGAAGACATATCTGCTTTTCTCAAGAAATCTTTGATCTTTTGATAATAACCAAGCATATTGTAACTTAATGTTGATGAAAAGAGGAAAAACATGTTGTTCAGTACTTTTTTTAAAAAAAATCCATGTTTTAAATAAAAAGGAAACATTTAAACATTTGTGGACTCTTCCACCATAAATCAGTGCTGTTGAGTATCCACTGAGTGAATCCAAAATCCACTGGGATGATTTCATATAGGACTGTAAGTGAATCACAGAAACTTCAGAGAAAATCAGCAGAACTTCAGTCAAGCCATTAATCTTGACACAAGGCAAATCTATGTTTTGTTTTGTTTTCCTATGGGTATTTACTGACTTTCCATTTTCAACTCTAGGGGTGAAGGCAGCTTTGGCTAACTATTTGTAGACGCAACATATAGTAGTAGGAAGGTTATGGTATACCATATATTGTTGAATGAAAGTTTCCAATAATTATTGCTTTTGACCATGCTTCTTAGTTATAATTCAGCAATATATAGAAAGCCTCCAGTTGCCTACTCTGAGCAAAGATTGTAGAGGCTTAGAGGAAGATGGTCATGTGATTGATTGATTGATTGATTGGCTGACTGACTAAATAATTCTATCAAGTTGTTTTTGACTTTTAGGCATAACAACAGCCAGGTTTGGAAGCTGGCATAGAGGCAGGGAAGAGTTCTACGTGATTTATGAATATTATGAAGGATAGTAATTTACAATCTGGAGTCTTTTTTCTTTGCTCTTGTAAGATCATTATCACTGAAAAATGTAGCTATTCAAAATGGATCAGCTTGATACTATACCTATATAATCCATAAACATGAATAACCTAGACTTCCTTTAGCCACTTAACAATCATTTTTTTTAAAGAAACATATATCTAGGGTTAGAATATATACATGAATCCATATCCCAAGCTAATTTCACTTGTTTAGTTATACTAAACAAGTACTGTAGCAATCACTGAAAATATACTAGATCAGTTCATCTAGTATATTTTATGATTGGTCATTTCAAATTTTATTTTTGTAAGCTATTTCCAACTCATTAGTAACTAATGAGCTGTCTTAACTTGTTTGCTCTAAAAATCAGTAAAACTCAGGTTCTTGCCTTGCAAAGATCCTTAAATGTTATAGCTCATAATAAATATTAGTTCAGTTTTAGTTTGCAGAATTAATGCTGGGTGTTTTTTTTTTTTCAAATTTAAAAAGCTGCTAAACATTTGTAGCCTCTTTGCTGGATCCTTTAATAAATGTACTGATTTGGAATCTGAGTTAATTTATCCTTTTCATTGCTTAGGAAGTATACAGTAGTTATTCATAAGCCAGACTGCTGATAATACACATTTAACTGGCTTTCAAAAAAATTAAAGGGAAGCTCAGGAAAAGGAGATTGTCTTTGCGTACAAGTATAATCCTTAGGGCTGAATTGTTTTTTATTATGAAGTTCTTAATTCACCAAAACCAAATAAGTGGTAGCAAAATTTGATTCCTCCCAAATATATGACAAACTAGATACAGAAGCCTGTTTTTCCTCAAAAGGGTTAGTAGTGCAGACACATTACTGATGTCAATATACTGATTCTTCTTCCTCCTCCATATCTAAATCAAACTTTAAAGTGCCAGAATGAAGCCACCTTCTTGACTTTGTCATTGGCCAAAAATAAGTAATTATCAGTACGTGTTTCTGGTAGTAGTAAACATACCAACAGATCAGCTGGGCTCTGCGAACTCCACATTCACATAGCATGTTGTTATCTGCTAAGAGTCTTCACTTGACCACCTTGGTTTTACATTTAGACACAACAACTCTCAACCTATTCAGGGTCCTCCAAGTAGTATAAAGGAGGTCAGAACCTTCAGCCATATCCTCCTTTAATGTTATTCCTTGCTTGATCATCTCCTTTCTCCATCTTTTAATTTAATTTTGTTCTTGTGTACCCTCAAAAATGTTTGTTCTTGCATAAATACATTAATGATGAAAACAAATAGAATATGTAGCACTCATAATGTTTGTACAAGATAATGAGATTTTTCTAATGAAGGAGGGACAAAAGAATAAAGAGAACTGAACACAACATAAGGTTTAGATGATGACCTTTAGTTCATCTAACCCAGAATTATCAGTAAATTACCATTATCAGTAATTTTTCATCATGCAATTTCCCCCCTCAATTTCTCATGGAGATGCTGGAGATCAATCTTAGGATCTTTTACATAAAAACATGTACTGTCGTAAACCCCATTTCGGCATTATATGAGTAATATTTATAACCCTCTGAGAGAGATGGGCAGCTAAGAAATCTATCTATATATAAAATAACTCTGTGTGTGTGTGTGTGTGTGTGTGTGTGTGTGTGTGTGTGTGTGTGTGTATGTTCCAGCATAACTCTGAAACGCTTCAAGCAATTTCAACCAAACTTGGTACACAGATGACTTACTCTCTGGAAAAAAATACTGTGGGGGTGTAAGATACCCCTAACACCCCTCAGAGTGAATATAGCAGCCGTGCCGCCCAGCTGATTGGTCTCGGTGGCCTTCCACAGCAGCCACACACCACTTGTTGGGCCATCAACGGCGTGGAGGACTGTTGCCACCAGATGGGTGTCAGCCCAGGTGATTACCGTGGCAGCTGGCAATGCACAGCCCCAATACCACCGGACACCAGATGGTGGTTACTGGTGGGTGTGGGCAGCCAGATGGACAGGGAGTGGGGCCCAAAGACTTATAGTGATTTTGTGTTTGGTTTTACTTTATAATGCGTATACTATAAATATACTTTTAAAAGTCTGTAAGAATTGGGATACATACTCAGGCAACACCAGGTTTTCAGCTAGTATGAAATATAAACAAATAAATATAGGTAGACCTATTATCAATGACACTAATCTGGGGATGAGATAAAGGAGCATGTAAATGTTAGAACATAAATGCTAGATCTTTAAGAGATCATCGACCAAATCTGTCAGTATTCTCTACAGATTTCTGCTTCCAGTTAATGTGCATTCCATGCTTGCATCTGCTTCAGATAAAAGCCATCTAATGTGTGTGCATACACAAGCACGTGTGTGCGCGCACACACACACACGCACACACACACACACAGAGTTTGCTGTTGGCATGGTTATCTTGTCTGCTTTCAAGGAAGAATTCAAAAACCAACATCACACTGAAATACATAAAGATGCAGATGCTGAAATCACTGCCACCAGAGTAGATGATTCAAGAGGAGAAAGTTGCATCAATTGCAGAGGTTTTCTATTTCTCATTTCTTAACAACATCATTTCAGAGTCCATCTCAGAGCTTTGTGTCAAATCCACAGGGTGTCAATTCTAAGCTTTGATGATCCTTGTATTGTTACTCCTGTCAGCCTTATATTTAAGTTGCTGAACAGTCACATCATCAAGGATTGGCTTCCTATGAAGCAACATATAATACTTGCTTCAAATGCTTGTTGAATTTCAAAATATGTCATATTCTACTCAAAACAGAGCTCCATAGGGTTTGCTTCCAAATAAACAATGTAGCTACAAAACTACACTGAACTTAGGTCTTGTTTGTTTTAGTGTGTATGTGTGTGAGAGGGGGGGGAGGGAGAGGAGGAGGGAGAGTTTTAGAACATTTTGACCATAATGCCAAAGTCCCACTAAATTAGAGTGGTCAGGTTTTATGCCTACAGGTTTTCTCTCTCTCCCTCTCCCTCTCTCTTTCCCCCTTCCTCCCTCCCTCCCTCTCTCAAATGATTTATATACAGTATGTCTATACAACTTCATAACCACACAAGTATGATAAATTTGGGACATTATATCATGTACAACAATTAAACAAGAGGTTTCGTAGAAATTACTAGAGCAAGCAAACAACCTACCAGAATATTTAGTCCATCTTTTACCCTTCTTAATTCCTGGCCCGTAAAGCAGGTACTCTAGAAGTAATTCTACTTGCTTGAGTCACACACACAAAGGACTTCTTTTGGGGGGCTAGCAAGATTGAAGCCAACCCACTTGTGTCAAAGTGCCAGTCTTTCTTCATAGTCTTAACCTGTTTAAAACAGGAAGAGAATATTGAGTTCAAAATCATGCACAAAATAATATTCAGTGCTGGTATAAGAATTTGTAAAGGCTGGATTATGTTTGTTTTGATCAAGGAAGGAGGAAGTGATTAACAGAATATTGCAAGTCATAAAAGCAAAACTGACTTGTTTTTATTTATTTATTTATTTATTTATTTATTTATTTATTTTATTATATTTCTATACCGCCCTTCTCCTGCGGGACTCAGGGCGGTGTACAGCCAGAATAAAACATAGTATATAAAATTTAAAAACATTTTAAAAACAATTAAATAATTTTGGTCCGAATTTAAAACAACCCAATTAAAACCGAATTTGATTAAAAAATTGAGAGGATGGGATCAAGCCAGCCCAGCTAGATGGAACAAGTGTGTCTTCAGGGCCTGATGAAAAGTCCGGAGGTCTGATATCGTGCATATCTCAGGGGGCAGGTCATTCCAGAGGGCAGGTGCTGCCACAGAGAAGGCTCTCCCCCCTGGGGGTCGCCAGCCGGCACTGCCTGGCCGATGGCACCCTGAGGAGGCCCTCTCTGTGCGAGCGAACCAGTTGGTGGGAGGCTATTGGCGGCAGAAGGTGGTCTCGCAAATACCCCGGCCCTGAGCCATGGAGCGCTTTAAAGGTGGCCACCAACACCTTGAAGCACACCTGGAAGACCACAGGAAGCTAGTGCAGCTCGCGCAGGAGAGGTGTTATATGTGACTTGCAATATTCTATTAATCACTTCCTCCTTCCTTGATCAAAACAAACATAATCCAGCCTTTACAAATTCGATCTTTAAAGACTGCTACGAACTGACCCCAGGGAAAGAAGTTTCTAAATCATATAGGAAGTAAAGTATTTTTGTGAAATCTGATTTTATTTGAACACTGCTGCACACTTGCCCCTTGTGATTAGCGAAGACATTGAGTTCAATTAATTAATCAATCAATTTATGAAGGATATTTAATCAAATTGTTATATATACTTGCATATTCATATATTTATAACTACATATATTAGAGTAATTTATCTGTATAGACCTATATAGGATTGGTTATATATAGTGATATAATTCTTTTTCATTTTTTTTCTTTAAATTAATTCTTCTTTGCTACTTAGACCATTTATTACCATTAATAATTAACTGTGATATTAAGTAATATTAGAGTATTAATTAATTAATTAACTACTTATTTATTTATATATACCCATTGTAAAAAATTATACATTAGAATAACTCTATTGATTTAAATAGATTGAATGACAAATAGGGATATTTGCTTTTATAGCTGATTAATTACTTGTATTTATTGATTGTGGGATACTTGCAATAGTCAGATTCTACGAACTGTGGAAATTAATGTGATAATAAATTAGACTTGAATAATAGATAACAGAACAGAATACGTATAAGATTACTAATGACAATAGGATATTTGGAATTGAATTAGTAGTAAACTAAATTAAATATTAGATTCTAGAGGGCTAAATATTTACTAGCCCCAGTAACACAGTAACATAGAGAAGATAATACTAAATTTTGCGGGGGGAAAGATAATTAGTGGATGATAATTTGGAGAAATATCGAAAAGATCGTGAGAGATCAGAAAAAGTTGTTGAAGGAGATGACAAGCCTTTCATCCACTGCGCTCAAAATGGGGAAGAAGACAGCCTCTAATACTACAATAATGATAACATCACCGGCAATGCAGAAATCGACTGAAGGACTGTCGAAAATAGAAAAATCAGCTATGATTCCTACTATGCAAGCGATGCAAGCGACACTTACAGTGATACAAGACACTATGATTATGATGCAAGTGAAGATGTCTAGTAATCACATCGAGTTGAAAACAGATATTAGAGTTATTGACCAAAAAGTAAATGACATACAAGAATCAATACAAATTAATGAACAGAAGATAAATAAGATGGAATCTAAAATTGAGCAAAACGAAAGGAATTTAGAAATAGTAGATCAGAAGCTGATGGCACAGAATAAGGAGTTGGAGGATTCAATTACCCAATTGGAAATGGATAGAGCCTCCTTCTATTTGCACTTCCAGAACATTGCTGAAGATAAGGAAGAAGATCTGGGCCAAGTGATGGCGGAACTAATAGCTGAGGTTCTGCAACAGGATAAACAAGATATAATTAAAGAATTGGATGAGGTGTACACAGTGCAGACCAATTACGCCAGGAGAAACAAACTGCTGAGCACATTGTAAGCCGCCCTGAGTCTCCGGAGAAGGGCGGCATATAAATCAAATTTAAAAAAAAAAAAACTGCCCAGAGAAGTGCACATAAGATTTGCACGGAAGAAAGTTAAAGACATTTTCTATAATGCGGTGAGGGAAGAACCGGTGATGTATAAAGGAAAGGAAGTCATCGTATTAAAGCAAGTCCCAAGGAGGGTAAGGGAATCAAGAAAAGATTACAGATTCCTGGCCATTCAGTTGAACAAGAGGTGTATCCTCTTCAGATGGATACTGCCGGAGGCATGCTGATTACGTGGAAGGGAGAGAAAATCAAAATAGACAGCCTGGTAGCAGCTCAAGATTTCTTGGATCAGCTAAGGGGGACAGAACAAGACCAAAGCAGCAAGGAGGAATTGGAAGCAACAACACAAGACGAGGAAATTATCCAGCAGAGAAGATCTAAAGAAGGAACCCCAGAGGAGAAGGAGACGGAGGATAAGGAAAGTAAGGAGGCAAAGAAGAAGCAAAGGCCACAAAGAACTACACGTGCGAATAAGAACTAAGACAACACAAAGGATATAAGAGATGGAAGATTGGAAATTAATATCGATCAATGTTAATGGTTTGAATGATAATAAAAAGAGAATTTTTTTTATTAAATTAGCTAAAGAAAATGTGGATATAATATGCCTCCAAGAGGTTCATATAAGAAAAGAAGATGAAAAGTATCTGGAGTATAACCAATTGGGAAAAATTTTCACCTCTCTAGCTGAGAAAAAAAAAGGGGGTGCAGCACTATATATTAAAAAAGAAATAGTAGCAGAATTAAAATATACAGACCCCAAGGGCAGAATTGTGGCAGTGGAAATAAAGAGAGGCAATTCCCCAATACTATTAATAGCTATCTACGCCCCGAATGAAAACTTGGGGGAATTTTATAAAAAATTAAGGGAAAGAATAAGTAAAATGGATAATAGCAATATTTGTATAATTGGCGACTTTAATGGAGTAGCAGATTCGGATAAAGACCATAAAAGCATTAAAGACAAAAAAAGAAAAAGGAAAAACCTACCAAAAACCTTCTTTGATCTAGCTGAGGAATTTAATTTAGTAGACATCTGGTGAACACTGCACCCAAATAAAAAACAATATACATTCTATTCTAACTCTAAAAAATCATTGTCAAGAATTGACATGATGTGGGTAAGCAGGAACATAGGGATGGAAATTATGTCAGCAGAAATCACACCCAATGTCTGGGCAGACCACAATCCGCTAGAAATTAGATGGAAAAACCTTTATAAAAGAGGAAGTAAGAGATGGAGACTAAATTTACAATTCCTGAGAGATAAGCAAAATACTGCGAAAGTAAAGGGAGAACTAAAATCCTTTTTTGAGGAGAATGAAAAGGAGCCAACTGCCCGAGGAATAATATGGGATGCAATGAAGGCGTACCTGAGAGGCCTGGCAATATCTTATGGGTCACACAAAAGCAAAGAAAAAAGAAAGTTACACAAGGAACTGTTGGACGAATTAGGAAAAGCAGAGAAGATAGTGCAGCAAAACCCAGGCAATGAGGCAGCTAAAGAAAATTGGATGATCCTACGACATAAATTAAACATTCTAGATCAGGAGAAATTGGCGTATAAGATAAAACAGACCATTTTGAAAATGCAAACAAACTGGGCAGGTGGCTCTCCTATAGGTTAAAAAAAGAGAAAGAGAAAGGGATTATATATCAGTTGGAAGATTCAGAGGGACATATTGTGAATAAACAAGAAGACAAATTAGAGATTATTCAAGAGTACTACACTACTCTATATGAAGAGGAAGGAATTCCAAAAGAAAAGGTGGATAAATACCTATCGGAAGAAACACTCCCATTAATAGGGGAGGATGAGAGAGAAATGCTTAATAAAGAAACTACAATGACGGAGTTAAAGATGGCGATATCAAAACTCAAAAAGAACAAATCACCTGGCCCAGATGGATTCCCAAGAAAATTATACAAAAACCCAGATTTAGAGGAAATTCTTCTACCAAAATTGTTAGAAATCTACAATGAGGCCCTCACAAAATCCAAAATACCGGAATCATGGCGGGAAGCATACATTACACTCCTCCAAAAAGAAGGTGCAGATCAAAAACTGATAAAAAATTATAGACCTATCTCACTTCTCAATACGGAATATAAAATCTATATGAGTGTTATAGCAGGAAGGTTAAAGATAATCTTGAATAATTTGATACATAGCGACCAAAATGGATTCCTTCCTGGGAGACAGATAAGAAACAATACAAGGATGGTAATAGACATCCTGGAATATTATGAGGCACACCCGAATAAAGAAATAGTATTGGTCTTTTTAGATGCCCAGAAGGCTTTCGACAATTTGAATTGGGATTTTATGATACAACAGATTAAAAAGATGAATTTTGGTCCAAATTTTGAAAACACAATAACCACAATATATGAAAAACAAAGAGCCAACATTTTACTTAATGGAGAATTGACAAAAACTTTCCAGATTAGAAAGGGGGTGAGACAAGGGTGTCCCTTGTCACAACTTTTGTATATATTAGCTCTAGAAGTTTTATTAAAAAGGATTAGAGACAATAATGGAATTAAGGGATTGACAATTAGAAAGGAGAAGTATAAGACTCGGGCATTTGCTGACGATGTGGCCCTTATTATGGAGGAGCCATTAGAAACAGGCGTTAAAATACTGGAAGAATTGGGTAAATGTGGAGAGGTAGCCGGCCTTAAATTAAATAAAACCAAAACCAAACTG